GGCGACGACGTGCTTGGGTCGTTGGGAGTGTATCCGACTTACGCTAAGGCACTGGGGGCTGTGAGTTTGCTTCTTCTTGAACAGGTTGAGCGGCGCCCAACTGGAAATTATAATGGTGAATTGCAGTCGCCTTGGTCGGACGGCGCCTTGGCTCATTTCCGCTCACTGGAAACTCTCGAGAGGAAGCTTTCGCTGAGCCAGGACGATGACGAGGCTTCGGTGTCAGTTAAATGTCTGTCGAACGACACGTACGAAGTGGTTCTCGACGGCGTCGCTGGTCAGGAGACCCACGAAGTCAGTGGAGCCATTGATGAGAGCGGAGAGTTTAAGTTTCGGGTAGGCAACCGCACGTTCAAGGGGACTGCTGTGATTCACCAGCAGGAGCTTCATCTCTTCTGCGACGACAATAGCCAGCGCTACGACTACAAGTTCCACGTCCCGTTGCCCTCTTTCGAGCCGGCAAAGGGCAGCGCCAGTGCCACTGCACACAGCAAGATCGTTGCACCGATGCCGGGCAAGATTATTAAGGTACTGGTGAAGAATGGCGACTCGATCAAGACCGATCAGCCGCTGCTGATCATGGAAGCCATGAAGATGGAGCACGTGATCCGTGCCCCCAAAGATGGCAAAGTGCAAGAGTTGTTCTGCGAAAAAGATGATTTTGTGACGGATGGTCATGTGCTAGTTGAGCTGGACTAACAGTCGAGTGGGGATCACATGGAGATAGTCAGAGTCTGAATCGTACAGATGCGTCGTGCTGTCAAAGTACTTCTCGAGCTACCTTACCCGTTTTCACGTAGCACTCGGACCCAAGAACTTTTTTTAATTGTGCAAATGTCGCTGGAAAATACAATCCATTATTTTGCCATTACCGGTTTAAAATTTTCAAAACTACATGTAATCAATAAGAAATTACTACTTCAAATTAAAACAATTTTCAATCTCCCATCAAGTCTAAGAGGGCAAGGACTTTGTGAGCTCACTTTTCCAGCAGCCATGGCGCTGTCCTATTAACAACATAGAGACGTTTGATAACAGTATGTGATGACGCGTCATTATAATATTTTGAGAAGCAGGCAAGCCCCGAGACGCTATCCACCTCTCCATGTAGCTTCGCTAACGGGACCGTACGCATAGAGTCCGTAATGCGTCCGGAGAAGGGAGATACGGCCTTAGCCCCGACGCTCCAGAGCCATTTTTTGGCCGACGCCCCTGGTAGATTGATGAAAGATGTCATATCGTTGATTTGAGAAGCAGGCAAGCCCCGAGACGCTATCCACGTCTCCATGTAGCCTTGCTAACGGGACCATATGCATAGAGCTCGAAATGCGTCCGTAGAAGGGAGATACGGCCTTAGCCCCGACGCTCCAGAGCCATTTTTTGGCCGACGCCCCTGGTAGATTGATGAAAGCTGTCATATCGTTGATATATAAAGGCGATAAGCCCCGAGACACTATCCACTTCTCCATGTAGCTAAGCTAACGGGACCGTACGCATAGAGTCCGTAATGCGTCCGTAGAAGGTAGATACAGCCTTAGCCCCGACGCACCAGAACCATATTTGGGCGGACGACCCTGGTAGATCGATGAAAGTTCTGGTATCGTTGATTTGACAAGGCAATAAGCCCCGAGATGCTATCCACCTCCCCATGTAGCCTCGCGGACGGGTCCGTACGCATAGAGTCCGTAATGCGTTCGTAGAAGGTAGATACGGCTTTAGCCCCGACGCTCCAGAACCATATTTTGGCCGACGCCC